CCTAAAGCTCCGTCTCACCCTGACTCGAACTGGGCTCAGCCCAGCGGACCGACCGCTCGAGCGTGATTTTCAATCCTATAATGGTGCCCCTGTGTCTCGCCAAGGTCAGGAACACTTTCTGTTTTCTCTTTTGTGAGTTTTAGAGAACCTTAGGTGTAGCTGTGAACGGTAGGAGTAGGGAAAAGTTGTCTGTCTGTCGGTCGCTGCGCTCACGCTTCCTGTCTCACCTTGCGGTGAAAGTGATCATTACCAGAAGCGTGTCCAACCGGAGTTTTCCTCACGAGTTTTCACGAAGAATGGTGTTTCCCTGAACTTTCCTGAAGCATGATGAACATCAGAGTGTTTTCAGTTTGTTTGCTGTGAGAACGGACTTCTAGACGAAGTCCGGGGAACACCTGGGCCGTGTAGCAGAGTTGCCAGTGCAGAGAAGCCGTTAGGAGTCCTTAGGACTTACCTCGGAAGTGAGTGTGCTGAAGTCTCTGTCCGCGCCCCGTTTCACTTTGGCTCAAGACTTGCACTGCGTGACAAGCGCGTGGTGAACAGTTGGTTGCGACGAAAGGTGTAAAAGTGCTGTTAGCTTTCACTGCTGTAGCCTTGCGTGACGCAGTCAGTCAGTCGGCTTGCACCTCCTTTTACTAAACCTAGAAGTGTGCCTCAAGGCGCGTTTGGGTTTTAACGTTCACTGTGCCGACAATGAGGTGCGGTGGCGGACAGTGACAGTTGCAGTCAGTGGCCGGCATTGTGCTTGCAAGCTCTACATGGCCGTCGTGCACGACATTCACTCCACTGATTGACTGGCTGCCCGCTTCTTTCTCGCTGCAGCATCGGCTCTTGAACCGCAGGGCAGGTGACCAGCCATGTCCATGATCTCTGAGGATTTTGTGGCACGTGACGTGGTATGTTTCGGTGCAGGCGTTGCCAATGCTTCTTGGGGCCCCACTGTCGGCTGCCACTCGGCAGTTATGGTGCCGCTATTGGCACACGGAGCGCAAGGCAGCTAGTCCCGCCCTTCGGCAGCAGTTTGCAGAGCACCAACACCGTGTCGTCGCATACTTGGCGCAACGTACCTGGCTACCGAATTTCCAACTGATCGTGCGACTTGGATTCCAAGTGCGTGCCACTTTTGTCCAATTCGATCGATGCTTTAGTGGTGCTGGCATCGATGTCGCGTCTTGTTTGTCGAGCCGTCCTCCAGCTCTACGAGAACTCGGATTTCCTACGTGCTGCGGCCATTCAGTCGGTGCTGGTTGACAGGCAGCTTTGAGCCACCGAGTGGCCTGGCTTGGTGGGACTGCCATACTTCAGCATGAAGCCGCTGGGCGGGCTTCCACTTACGCGCCTACTTTCTCCGCTACCGATTTGCGTCCCACCTTGCAGGAACTCTCTTACTCCAATTAGTTCTAGCTCTTGCGAGACCCGCTGCGGTGGAAAGCTGGGCATGGGCAATTTTGCATAGTTTGCTCGACTCTTCCCCATGGGGGTGCTAAGTGTGCTGGTATGGCCTTCCTTCCCTTGCGAGATTAGTGGGAAGCTGGGCCACGTGGTGCTGTGACGAGGCTGCTTGGGTACGGCAAGTGCCATTCTACTTGCTACACTACCTTGTGTGTGATCCCATAAGGCCCTTGCGAGGCCCACCTCCGTGGGAAGCTGGGCTATGTTGAATATTTAGCTTGCCTTGGCAGGCGTTGCTCGAGTTGAGTCCTGGACCTCTCTCGCCTCAGACTAGCGCCTCAATGCCGTGGCATGTGTGCCATGGGATACCAAACCCGTGGCCGCGACGCTGAAGATAGCCCAATGGATTGCGCGATACATGGTGTCGCATGGTGCACACAATGCTGCATGGTTTTTATTATCAGTCATTTGCGATTTGCCCTTGCGAGCCTTGCCTTGGCAGGAAGTTGGGCCTGAATTCATCTTCAGCATTTACCCTGGGCAAGCTCGTTGATGCTCGGATGTTTTGTATGGCGATTGGCCCTCCTATCAGGCCATGTCAAACCCTTGGGTTGCCAGGCTTCTGCACACTGAACTGGAGGGCTGTCTTGTGCGGCCAACCGTACCAAGGGAGACCATGCGTTTGCCATTGCGCAACTCAGTTTAACTGGGGAGCGGGGCGTCTGAGCGGGGGTAGCTGCTAGCCTTGTGCATATTGCCGAACGACGTCTGCCGGCTAAGTCTGCTAGTCGCGGCCTGTTTCACCGGTATTTGAATTGATTGTACAGTTTCTTTAGTTCTTGGCTTTCTTGTAGTTCTTGCTGGGGCCGAGTGCAGCAACTTGCTGTCGTTGAGGCCCGCCCACGCCAAAAAAAAAAGGATGTCGAGAGGTGTGGCTGACGGTTCGGAATTGAGCCGGGGGATTGTACCGAGCGCAATGCTTCAGAACTATCGGCAGAGAACGACATTGCACTAATCAAGTGCACAGGTGCCTCGACGAACCACATTCCGGCCCGCACCTTCGATTGGCACTTAGTGTCTCTCACCAGTGCTACAGGCCCACTGGCTGAGGTTGAAGAAACCGCGGTAGACCAGAATGGCATGCTTCATGTTGCTAACAAACAGGCCTTGCTGCGTAGCCATGCTCAACGCCCCACTGAACAACTGGAGACAGCGGCCTTGCTCAGGCCTTTGAACGCTTGCCAGAAGTTCGCACTTGCAGCATCCTGTGGCTGCCTCTGTGCCAATGACATTTCTGACCTCGGTTGCGTCCTTGCTCACAGAGCGTAGAGGGCTTCTCGGCGGGCAGCCATTCTCGCTCACTTGTGGGAGAACGTTCCGCACCAGAACCCTGCGATTCCGCGGAGAGCCAGCAAAGCTTCTGAGAGTCAGACTGGGGGCATGATCTTTGCGGTGGGAGAGCGACCACGGTGCATCGCGACTTGCAGTCCCTGTTTCGGGTTTTCTGCATGCTTAAGAATTTGAAAGTTCGATTGCAGTTCCTTTTCGCAGCTTCTGCTTCATGATGCCGTGTCCACTTTACACCGCTCCTTTTCTGGAGCCCTGACTTTCGGCAACAAGATTCTAAAGGAGCTTTCCAAGAAAAACGACATGTTTATCTCTTCATTTTCGCGTGCGTTTTCATTCTGGAGTTGGATGAAGTCCGACTGAACTCTCACGCGACTCATGTTCGGAGAAGAGCTTCGATTTTTGGCCAGGCGAATGTGCGTTTGGAAGTCAAGACCTGCGGATTCGGCCAGCTACACACCCACGTTGTTGCGCTGTCACTCATGCCAATTGGAGGCCTGCGTGTGGTAGACTTCCCTCACGACACAATCTGTGTGCAATTTGATGGCTGTAACCGCAGGTTGGCGGTGCTGGTGCCACTCTGTGGGCTACGGTGGGCGACCAAGAGCTTTCAGCTTGCTTTGCCGACCCTTTACAGTGGCATGGTGGCATGTTCGGTGGCACTTCTCTTTTTGCCAACATGTCGGAGAAGCGGAAAGCATCTCCTTTGCCACTTGCTTTTGTTGTTTGGTTGGAGTGCGAGATTTTGAAAGGAGTGGCTGATCCGGCCCGCTTTCATGGGTTCGGTTCTCCTTTGCTGATGGGCTTCGCTTCGCTTTGGACAAGAGGCCTTACTGCTGTTTCTTTTTTTCATTCTGATCAGTCAGTCCAGCGTTGCTGAGCCCGACGTTGGATTGAAAGATGTGCAGCACGCGATTTGCCGGGTTGACCAGGACAAGGCGCTGACCGCGTGCCCGTATTATGTCTCTGCATGATATATATGTGCGCTAGGACGGCGGAGAAGAGAAGTCGCAGTTGGTCGGGATGCCAAGTGCGATGTCTCGCGCAGGCGCGGGTATCTCCAGGAATCGGACTCCCGGAAGCCATTGGCCAAGAGGATTGTGGAGAGCCTCCACTCTGGCAGGATTGGCGGCTGCCACACGACCAATGCTAGGCGTGGGAACGGGCGCCGAGGGTGCGCCACTGGACTGCTTGCGGGTAGCGAGCAGCGGTAACCAAGAAGCAGACCTCGGTAAGCAAGCGTGCTGAACTAACAAGGCCGAGATTAAACGCGACTCCGTTGATGACCTCCAAGCCCTCCGCCTGGTAGGTCCTTCTGGCACTCTTAAGCCGCGCCCCGGCGGCAGCCAAGTTTGACATGTACTGAGGATGGCCCAGCCATCGCGAAGGTCCAGAAGAGGAGAGGTTGAAGTGTCAGTCGTGGTCTTCACAGCGCCCCATAGGGCTGGAATGGGAGGTTCCGCACAATTGTGTCCCTGGCATCTATCTGGCGGCGGCCAATCTTAGAGGATGCACATTCTATGAGTTGATAGTTCGACTGCTGGAGGACCCCTTGCTGGCTCACATCCACGCTGTTCTTGTAGCACGGGGCACCAATGGAAGCTCTCTCAACATCTTGGGCTGCCCCGGAGCTTCCAAGACGTTCTCCTCAGTGCTCTGTCTAGATGCGGTACGAGACTTCCGGGTGGCCTTCCAGCAGCATGCGGCACTGCTGGCCTTCTTGATGATTTCACACAATGTGTTGATAGACGCGCCCAAGTGGCTGCGACGCCTTCTGCTCGTTTGACGGGTCTCCGGCAAACAGGAGTTGTTCTCGCCAGTGCATGTTAACACGGTGTTGGGCAGTGGAAGATGACCCATCTGAGGACCCCTTGGCGGAGGCACACTCTTGGTCACGCAGGGCTCTGGCGCGCAACAGTTGAATTGCAGATGGTCTGAGGTCCTGGAGGCGCTAACAAATTGCCGCGTTAATGTCACCGAGGCGGCGGAAGATGTCTTGCTCATCCGCACAGATGATTCCACACAACCCACTGGTGGAGGGTGGTGAGACGCAGTTTGTTACGATTGATGGACTCCTGCGGAGGAAGGTGGACATAAGAGGCGTGGCGCATTCTGGATTGCCATTGGTACAGCCGCGACAAATAGGGCCGGCTACGGCGCGACTGGTGGAAGCTACGAGTCAGGGGTCCGTGCGTAAGGGGTTTTCCGCTCCCTTGCCGATGCTGTTCAGGGTTAAGAGGGATGTTGGGGTGCAACCCAGTATGGAGCTGCGAGCGTGGGCACGACGGCTGTTCTTGTCCTCCGACGCTGGGCTCTTTGTTCAAAGACGTCCAGAAGAAGGAGCTTGTGATGTGATGCTGGACGGCGTAACTCACCGCGTCCCGTACGCGGCCTTGCAACGTGTGCAGGGCCTCCCTGCATTGGCTGCAGCGGGACTGAGGAAACCGACATTGCAGTGGCAGCTGCTCCGGTGGAAGCTACCGGCCCGCATCGTGGATCAAGTGGGTGCATTTACGGAGTGTGGAGAAGCAGCGCATCAGCGTCTCACTGCAGCGATGACACAAGGCACTGGACTGCTTCTCGTTGTCTCGCCAGCGCATGCTTCCGGGTTGCTTGCCGCAGCGCACATGCATGCCAGGCTACATGGCTCGGAAATGCAGTGGCGGGGAAATGTCAGCGAGCGATATGATCAAGGAGTTCCATCGACGATGGCACACCTACGACAGCGACCGCCCTGTTAGTTGCTGTCTTCCTCAGGTCGGCACCGGGCGCAACTACATTTACGGGGCCCGGACAGAGGCGCGGGGAGCGCCGCGTGTCCCGTCACTTTTTCCGGTCTTCGATACCGAGGACCCTTATCTGGTCATCCTGGATATGGACGCATCCTGTAATCTCTCCCTTTCCAAGGACACGGAGCCGAGCCGCCATTGAACAGCCGCACCTGCGCGGCATCCTTTGTCGGAGGTCGGGAAACGAATTACGGAAATGACAGTAGACAGCCATGACACGAAGTGGTCGGTTGTCTCGCCTATGATGCTTCTATTTGGTATATATTGCCACAGATCACACCACACAGGAGTTTATGCGCTTCCTTCGTCACCGTCTGGGTAAACTGATTGGCGCTGCTGCTGATATGACCTCCTCCGCTTCGGAGACGATAGCGCACTATCGGCGGGCTTGGCGGCAGCGGGCTATGACAGGCGTACAGGAGTTAGCACCGGAGCGGGCGTCAAGGAAGACCCCATCTATGCGGAAGATCTCTCTAGCACGGGCTGCACCCGCGTCTTCAAGCCCATATCTTGGCAAGAGGACATGGCAGAGCTGCTAGAAGCGCTGGATGCCACGCCCGCACAGCACCGCCCCACTCTCACAGGGCGTATAAGCAATATTGCGCCCGCAGATGACTTCCCCACCCTTACGGTGCAGCGAGAGATCTTGAAGGACTGGCTAAAACGGGCGAGGGCGCCGCTCCCTCCTATGGGAGTGATGTATGCGCATGCCCCGCATATCAAAAGTATACTCCCCTCCCTTACGGACTGTGGCACGCTACTGACGCTGCCTATGTCTTTGATAACGGGGTCGTTGCGCCTCCGTTGCTGCACGGAAATGGAGGCATGGCGATTGTACGCTAATCCACTTCTCACCATATATGCAGCACTAGCGGAATTGTGTGAACCACTACAACACCTTCCGGACGACAAGGTCTACGACCTCTCATGGCGAGAGCTGGCCCGACTCCAGCGTCTGGTGGAGAAACGAGTTGGGAAAATCCTTGATAGGTTTGCTGGTAACTGTAGAGGATATTGTCGATCTGATCATTTAGATCTCTAGGGTTCCTAATCCCTCCAATCCTTCAGGCATCCTATCCCGCCAGGTCCTCAACCGACTTAAATCTGGCAAGGCACTGCTTACCGTCTCGGATATCATATCAATGATAGATCAAATCCTTGTGTAAATAGGAACGGCTAAGGAGGGGAAATTTGTCAAAGTAGCTTGTGCACGTGAGTGTATCATATGTCGGGCTGGTCAATGATACGTTTTACGGCTTGTGCCGACCACTGCTTACGTTGCCGTAGAATGTACAGAAGCATCGATGCATATCGATATTCAATTAATTCGTTATCGCCCCAGGTCATCAGAGAGAAAGAAGAGAGAGTCTCCGCA